AACCGAGAAAGAGGCCGACACCAACAGTACCTCCGGCTACTCAACCCTGCGAAGTCTACGAGGAGTGCCGGGTAGCCAGAAGTTGAAAGACCAGGGCAATTGCAAAACTGATGCCAACGAGTCGGGAGGTACCCTGAAGAGCAAGCAACCTCGGTCTGGCGGTATGTCACGCAGCCGCAGTACCGTGAGTGGCAGTTTCCATATTCCCAGCCGCAGCAACAACAAATCCCCCTGCCCGACGGAGGACCCCAATAACCCTGACACGGAACGATTGAGCCGTCGCTCTTATGCTGCCGCCGCGAACGAGACAAGTCATCATGCACCTTCGCGGCGACCAGACACAGTGGGTGCCGTACCAGACCGCTCAGGACGCACCGATTCCTCCATATCACGCGGTTATCGGGACGTTAGTCCGATTGGTGCTGAACCCCGACCTCCGATTCGCAGCTCCTCAACTCGCAAGAGTTCTAAGTCCCTAACCCCACCCCAAGATTCAGTGGTTGTGCCGGATGACGCCGAGAGCGCAGTCTCGGCAGGTAACCGTCCGACTGCTGGTGGCCGTCTTCTTTTCCGCATGGAAAGCAACAGCCGGCGCCAGTTGGATGAAATGATGAACGAAATCAAGCACGTCCTGACTACTGCGCGAGTTGCATTCACGCAGACTGAACAGCACAAATTGCAATGCACCTGGAACACTATCCCTCTAGAGACTGACTTGGACTCGGACTTCACCACACCGGACGTGCTGCGACTAGAGCTGGAGGTCTGCAAATTGCAAAAGGCAGGCATGAACGGTGTCCGATTTAAGCGTCTTTCAGGCCCGGTTGCGGAATTTAAACGTGTATCACAGAAGCTGGCAGAAGACTTGAAGCTTTAGGCAACATAACAGCAGCCCGGTGCCAACCTTCTAACCACCTATGTAGCCGACGATCGTTTTTTTCGCCCCCTTCTTTCTCCCGTAAGTTCCCTGCTCCGTTGACTTCGCGAAGAGGCCAGGAGTGGAGACTGCGGGCTTTCTACCCACTTATCCTCCCCTTCACTCCCCCTGCTGCGGCCGCAGTGGTCCGCGCGGTGCTCTCCGGACGCAAGTGTTCCAGCCCGTGACTCTGATCACTTGCCCCTTCCTGTGGGTTCTTGGCCTTGGCGACGCCTAAACCAACCTGCCTGCCACCCACTGCTGTTTCACCTTCCTTCCTCCCCCTTGCAGGCAGGCGCGCGTGCGTTCTCTTCGACCGCCTCAGTTTGCGATCTTTCTACACGTACCGCACGCACTCACCGCGCACGCTTCTACACGTTTGTGCATGCAAAAAAAACCGACGACACAACTAGAAGCCCTACACGGTGCTCTTACAGAGTCCCTTCCCAAGCATTTCTTGTCCTATCACCCCCGCCTCTTTGCCCCACTGCCTCTTGACGCAGATTATGCTGAGCAAGTCAATCTCTGCACAACTTTACTTCATGATGATGTCGATGATGAAGTAACGAATACTTAATGTTTTTGATCATGCTTTATGACCACCTCTTTGCTCTCTATGTTTGTATAACATATGTCCGTCTGGCGTAGGGTCTGTACCATCCGGTCAACACTGCCGTCTCCCGGTCTGTAGATATGAGCACTTTTATTCTTTAGTCTGTACAGTAGGTACGTTAGCCGTTTTGATCACCTAACAGTCTGTGACCACTTCAAAAGGATCGGCACATATGCGTAAACGACTGGTCGCCTTTTGGTTAGTTAAGACTACCCTTTGGTCAACTGTGACCGCTCACCACGCGAGGGCTTAACCCAATCTGACGTGGAAACCGAGCTGGACGGCGTCTTTACTGCGGGAATTGGTCGGAGCAAAATGAAGGGGGTCGGGCAAACTGCAACAACGACGTCCGAGCAACTTTTGTTCACTGCAAGAGTTATCAAGCATATGATACTAGTGCAGTACGGCCTCTTTGTTTGATTCCTACTAACTTGCCACCGATATTTCCGTGTGACATGCACTTGATCAGAGCTGCCATGTCCCGTTGCATGCGATCGTCAGGAGTTGCCCTAGAAAACGGTGCTGGTCGTTGACTGAGGGACTAGGGTTTCCTTGACTAAAGCACTCAAAGCGGTGGTGTCTGTGTGTACTGGGTGGGAAGCACGGATCAACGTTTCAGGCACCTAATCCCTCCTGCCACCATCCCCCCTCCCTCCCTGCAGGCACATTTGTAGTTTGGGTCTCCTTGGCAGAAATAACGGTGACACTGTGCCAAGTAACGCTGCCAGCGGTGCCTAACTCTTCTGCGCCTGTCTGCCTTGTTGACACACATTTCGGACACTGATCACCCTGGTTGGGCGCTGCGACCTCCCGTAAACACCCAGTACGCTTTAAATCCTTCCCAACACTCTGATCCCAGAAACCATGCGAGGTTGGCCTTGAAAGTCTAGCACAACAGGCATTCACACTAGAAAATGAGCTTGCTTCGAGATTCGTAAGTATCATTTGGGTTGAACAGCTGTCGGGCGCGTTGACCATAGCTCAGTCCACAGGGCATCCAGCGCAGTGTTGGCGGCTCGAGGGTCCAAGTTTTTCTGGTGATATTCTGTACTTCATCTCTGCTGTGTTGTGTCGTGATCAAAATTGTTCCAGTTATTCGAAAGTGTGCTGTCTTAAACGTCTACTGTCTTGCTGAATACTAGAGACAGCGGTCTGATGGTCGAAATATCAAACAGTCCACGCTGCCTGACATGAGCCTGTACTGCGATCTGAAAGCCTCGCTCGACGACCAGCTGACTCGATTTGAAACGTCGGTGCACCATCATCTAGATCTTGGGTATAATTGGCCGATGAAAGCTAATAAATAGCAAATGGCCGGCTCACTGTCCCCCTCGTTGTCGCTAACTCACCGAGTGTTAGGGGTCGTCCTCGCGTTATGAATGTCATAACATAGGAGGCGACCTACATTTCCGAAAAATTCATAACAATTTTGAAGTCGGCTTGAGTACATTTACCAGAACACATAGTTTTGAATCTGGTATGTACTGGGAAAAAGGAATTACATGAAGACATTGAGAGTATCTTGAAGTTAGTTCTTTCGCTATAACTCGGAGACCTGTAGTCGTCTACTTCGCGAATAGAAGGTTTTTATGGCAATGGGTTGTTCTCTATGTCTCTGAATTTGTTAAACCGGTAGTGCGCACCAGTTATGAATGCGCCAAGCGTCTGCTGGCCATCACAATTTAGTAGCGTCGTGTTGACTGCTATAGGCTTCGCTCGCACAGACCACGCTGAAATCTTGTTTCTTTGACGTCAATGCCAGGGGAGCAAGTGTTTTCGCCGCAGCCTTCCCCAGACTGTTCACTTCCCCATAATCAAGCATAAAAAACAGTACACTCGATATTCATGCATATGTACTGGAGGATGGCCGACCCGGTTACGCGAGCATCAGCTAACGGCGAGTCGGTGAGGTCACATTCCGGTTTGACATGCATACGACAGTTCGACCGTCGTACCTGACAATTTTCACCGTGTGCTCAGCAACAAGGTAGAGCAGGCACGGTAACTTGCGCGTGAATTAGTTTTTAGTGAATGTAGACCTGCTTAGCATCTACTGTACTCTATCCTCCCCCACCTGGGCTTGGTGTCAAGAAAACCCGAGGAGAGAGGGGACGCTGGTGGTTGGCAGGGCCGGACCCGCGCCTAGGCGTACCACCACGCCCCTGGTCCACAACAAACTCCTAACCAGGCTTTCAACAAACAAGAAAATAAACGGGTCAGAGGACGACGAGAATGACTGGGCAGCCATGTTCACAACCTGTTTGCCTAGCTGGAGCGCATGCGCATCTACCGGTAGAGAATCAGGTTTCATGGGACCGCCAACGCACACCAGGCTGTGAGGGCCATGGTTTGCCGATCATAGCGTAGCGGATGCTTACATATCGTAAGGCCCAGAAGGGTGGCAGGCAGCCCTGCATTTAGCCTGGGCCATCACCCTTCAAAGTCTGGACGACCAATCAGTCATCGACCGAGAGGAACTACCCTTATTAGAATACACAGACGCTCCTCACATGCGCGGGAGTATCAGAGATCATTTGAAGCAGGAGCCGTTGTAGCCTGACTCTCAGCCCACCAGTACTCCACCACACAAACACACACAGCTGAGCAGACTGCGTGGATTGACTTGAGGCATCAGTCGGCGCCGTGATAGTCTCAGACCCCGATCACACATGTGGCAGAGTAGCCACCTGGAGAAGGAGCCGAGAAGCACACTTCCCATGCAAGCGGGAAGCGGTGCTGGTGGCGGGCACGCTGGGTGCTGCGGTGTAAGTTAGGCTATGCATAGTTGGTGTGCAAGACTTGACGCACATTTTCGCGGAGGAAACCCGCATTATTGGCACCTGCCAAATGAAGAAGGTTCACAAACTCCTGGGGGCGCTGCGCACAGATGATGCAGGCATCATTAAACATATTAATGTGGATGCCACATACGAAATTCCTAAGGAGAAACTGGGGGCGAACGCAGCAAATCTCGACGGAATGATGTGATGGGGTAAACACGTGATGGCGCAGACTTCAGGCAGCCATTGAATCTTTTGTTAGACAGTTAAAAAGTTAACCGTTTTAAATTTGGTGAGAAGGTGGGGACTAGTCTCGAATGTTCACACTGTAAACGGTCCCTGTACAAAGAACTCGGCCTATCCTTTATGTCTCTTGAGATGTCTATGTGTGCCCGCGAAGGTTGTAGTACGATCATCCCACCTGCCACCGCTCATTTCTTTCTGGTGTAGTCAGCTCGAACATTCACTGGGACAACTCGGTCTCTCTGAAGAGTCTTACTTACGACGCAAAAACACTTTTCACTTAAGAAACGCTGATTGTGAGATGTTTGACTGAGCACTTCAGAAGTAGTTCCAACCGACCCGTCCACAATCTCCTACGACGTCGTCGGTAGGCTCCCCATGTATAAAACGAGCGACGATCTCGACCTCCTGCCTCCCCTCTCAGAAGCAATCAGAGCAACAAACCCAATCACAAGTGAGAAATTCCTGGAGAGTCAATACGATCGTGGACAAAATCTGCATTCATGGCACATGGGTTCGAGCGAGAATCCGAAACGTCAGGCCAGTAAACTTCTTGTTCCAGTGATCGCATCGTGTTCTCCTGAACTGCTTCCTGGAACTCGCCTGTTCGCTTCCAGCAGCGGTCATTGTTTTCTCTGACCGCCAACTGCAGAAAAATGTCGGGAAATGAGGACCGACCTCTACATCACCTCCATAGGTCTGACAAAGATCCTCGACACCGTTAATCGGGGCAGCCTCTGTGATATCGCGTTGAAATGTGGAAGTCTGGATCACTTCACACAAATTGCGCACCAAATTCATGATGGAGCGCCGGCTTGCGCCATCGACAACTGGGCAGTCCTGAAAGCATTTGCAGTCACCAACAGAGTCGAGCAGGGATGCGTGCTTACTATCACCCACTCTAACCTCCTGCTCTCCGCTACGCCAATGGACGCCCGCCGTAAGGGGCGACCGGAAATCGACATCGTCTGCCAGATCAAATGGCAACTGCTCAACATCCATAACCTGCAAGCATGTTCAAGCATACCCAAAACAAACATCGTCAACCTTCTGTTTGCGGATGACTGTGTGCTCAATATAACAACCGATATGATGATACAAAGGAGTATAGAACTGTTCACCTCCGGCTGCCTCACTTTTGGTTTGGCCATCAACACGAAGAAGAGGGTGGTTATGCACCGAATGGCACCCAACGCAGACTTCAATGAATCCCATATCAACGTCGTTTCATCGAATATTCGCCGACAGGGAAGTCAGGATCGACGTTATACGGGTGTATTGAAGACTCCGTTAAAGCGTCTCAATCTACCAAGAGACATGAGAGGAGTTCGCTCAGGACTGGCAGGCCTAGGTAGATGCCTAAAGACTGAAGCATCCATTTTTAAAGCCAGCCGGCTCATCTTTACCAAAGCCGGATGAGCGGCTCACAAGTCAGAAACCCCGCGCACTAATAGTCCCACAATCAACTACTTCCCTCGTATCCACGATGCTGACGGACATCCCACACAGAAATCGGCCTCTTTGGCCATCTCTGGATCCAATGCACTCTTGATGCGACACCGTCCGTATAAGAGACCGCCTCCACCCCCGCCACCGCAACCTCCACGAAGTCGACAAACACCACCATCGGTGAGCAAACTTCCGATGCACTGCTGCCCACCACCACATCCGCCATCAATACCGCAACTTCCTTGCCGTCGACGACAATAACGCTCACTATCTCCATTCGTACCATCGGGGAGAATGCGCTCGAAGCCTAGCCACACATCACAGCCATTACCGTTCCCTGCCCCAACAGTGAGGGCTCGATTTAAACCCGTCTCGATTCACGATTGCGTCGACGCATCACGTATTAGCCTGGTCAGCCATTAGCGAATCCATCGCACTGCTACTGGCTAGCCAGTGCCAAGAGCACCAACATACATCCGTCGCACCCGATTGAACTGTCCACAATGCTCACGGACATTTAGTCATCACATGGGCATATTCGGTTGTATGCGTTCCCGTGAAAATCTGCGTAAAGCACCTCAGCCCAAATACCATCGCCAGACTTCGCTTCGTCCCCTCGGACGGCCACCTGTGCAAGTAGCAAATATGTCCTTTGCTGTACTCGGACGCATAATCTCTTCACCAGGTGTGTGTGTGTGTGTTTGTGACATGTGAAGATGATGTCATAATTCTGTCAGCCATTGCGCCCAATCCCATCACCAGCTGGGTGAGTGAGGGGAAATAGATACTGAGGTCGACACAGGGGACGCCTCGACCCGGCATATCAGTACACTCCTCTCTAACAAGAACTCTGACGTGCTGGAATCGACCAGAACACGCTAGAAGTCCTAGCTTGGAAGGTCGCTAACTGCCTAGGTAACTCAGTCTGCGTGGTCGTTATTGTGTTTATATAGGGTGACTGACTGACGGACTAAGAGTGAGGAGGTCTCTATGACACTCCCATTCGGATGGGTTCAGAGCCGCCCCCTTCCCTTGGTTAAAACCTGGCACATTGTGTGGAAACCAGGTCGTGTGTGACATGCGTAGACGACCCCTTCAGTCGCTGCACCCAAGCCCGCTCCCGGTGTCCTGAGTCTGTCATGCCAGCAGGCCCAGGCGGGTGATAAATGGCATAGTGCGGCAGATGCCATTCAAGTAAAATAATTCACGCGCAAGTCACCGTCCTGCGCCCAACACGTTGTGGGGGTAAACTGTGGGCATCGTCGCATGCGACGGGCGAACTACCATACGTGCAGTTTACCAAACCGATCATCTAACAGACCATCAAAAAATGACATGAAATGCCCGGGCGATGACCGTTTAGGAGCAGTTCCGAACTTGTGATGAGACCTTAAGTCACAGTCAAGCAAACTCTGTAGAGTGTCCATGCTGAACATAAATAGTACTACTGGCGGACCAAATGTATATGACAATGGCTGCACCATACTTCCAACATAGGTAATATCTAAAAACCCCACACACGCACTTCGCCGAGTTTTCCATGATTGCATAACGTAACTGCGATGAATTTGGCTCACCAACATACTCCCTAGCCTTTTACAGGCGCCTTATGCTAACATTGCCTCAAGATGTGAATGCTAAACTTGTGATATCCTAAGTCATCGGGGCAATGAATTGTGGCCTGGGTCAATTCCTACTTACTGTCCGCCGTCAGTAAGCCACAGCTGAATTATGAATTTGGATGAAATGAATTTTGACGTTGCCTTGTTGATTCAACTTTGAGTTGCTAATATGACAAGAAACCCATTGTGGGTCAAAATCCTAATTGTTTTTTTATTTTAGAGAGTACAACAACATCGTTATATTTTTCCCAGCAAGATTATATGGAGAAACCCAATCTGTCAAGGTCCTAAGTAGCCATACGACCCAGCATTGGGAAACTTTTCATATGTCGAAGTAGGATGCTCGACAACCTGGAGGTCCACAAATCAGAAAGCAGGGAAGACATTTAGGTGGGTAATATTTTACCGAAGTCGAGAGTATGCACGCAGCGCCGCAAGTACTTGCTAAAAATGCTCTCAAAAGGCAATTTTCAGCCCTAACGCGTGGGTCCGAACTTCGCCTGGCTGCAGTCAATCAGTGAAGTGATAAATGTCCATTGGCGTCACCGGCATCGCAAGCCAGATGTTATCATGCACGTACATAGCACTTGTCATGTATGTTAGGAGCACCGAGGACGGTGTGGCTAGGCAGAGCCGACAGGTGAAACGGCTCAACCCGAAGGTTCGTGTAACCAATCACTTTGGCGGATCTAGCCTTGGTCGCACCGTCTACGTCTGCGACAACCGGAATGTCAGACGTTTCCTGGTTGATATTGGCATGCAAATTAGTGTTATCTCTCCAACAGCAACCGGCCGTCGGCAGCTGAATCCCCGCCTCTTCTTTCAGGCCACTAACACCTCCCCGATCGTCATCTCTGGTACTTTCTCCCTCTCCCGGGACATTGGGCTCCACGGTCTCTCACATCTGGTCTTTGTCGTTGCAGAAGTTCCATGTGTCATTCTTGATTCAGACTTTTTTGCCGCTTTCTATTGCCGTCATTTCTATCTAAACGACCAGAGCACCAGCCTCACCGTCCAGGGTATCCCTTCGTCTGTGGCTTCCGGTAAACTTGCCGTCTTTGACCCTGACTCAGATAACCAATTTCGGCAGCTCCTCACGAAACACTCAGACTCACCCGTCCTAATTTCTGCGTTTCTACCTCATCGAACGATGTTGTTCATCATATCCGAACCGCTAGCCCTCCTACGTTTTCTCGGCCCTGCCATCTCGCGCCTACATGTCTGGCTGCTGCCAAGGTCGATTTCGAGCACATGCCCCAAATGGACATCAGTAATCAAACCGAAAACCTATGGACCTCACCCCTCCACATAGTACCCAAGGTCGTCAGTGGTGATTGACGCTCCTATGTTGGCTACAAGGTGTTAAACAACGTTACTATTTCCGACCGCTATCCTGTCTCGCGTCTCTAGGATTTTGCCGGTGCCTTGTTCGCCAAGTCCATCTTCTCTGAAATTGACCTGGTAGGGACGTTCCACCAAATTCCCATAGAGTCAAAGGACGTTTTGAAGACGCCGTCACCACCCCTCTGGCCTCTTTGAGTTTCTGTGTATGCCGTTTTGACTCCACAACGTCTTGGAAACCTACCAAAGGCTAGTAGACAGAGTAATTCGCAGTCTACCCTTTGTCTACGTCTGCATTGACGATCTCCTGTTGGCCAGTTACTTGCACAACCCCTCACCCTGGGGAGTAGAGAAACCGACGAGCTGGTCTCCAACCGCCTCCCCTGACCTGGGATGCACAGCGACCTCAAAACTTGAACACAGGCATGTCTCGGCTGTCAGCGGACTAATGTTCGACGGAACAACAAGGCTCCCATCGGCACCTTCTCCGGCCCGATGCACAATTCAACCACGTCCAGCTGAACAATGTGGGGCCCTGAGTCTGTCAAACGGTTGTTCCGATCTTCACGCCTGTGTGAATGGATTCACCCGGTGGCCGGAAGCCATCCCTTTGTCAATGTTAAAGCTCCAACGGTGGTTAAGACCTTCCTCGGTCGTTTGGGTGCCATCCTCGGTGTCCCTTCCACCATTATGAATCACCACAGTGTCCAATTTAAGTCTCACTTCATCCAGCGGTTCCTCTTCTTTTCAGGCTGTACTCGCATTCGGATGATATCCTCTCACCCGACTGTCAACGGGATGATCGAGCAGTTACATCACCAGCTGAAAATCCTCCCAAGCAACGCAAAGGACCTGAAGAATTGGACGGGTCATCTTTCCCCGACCCTATTACCCATCCGGTCAGTCATGCTTTTGGACACCCTGACTGTTCCGCCGCTGAAATGGTGTTAGGAACCACTGTCCGACTCCTCAGTCAAGGGATCGCCCCAACACATCGCGATGCGGTCGAGAATACCACCAACCTCTTGCACCGCCTCCAACACTTCATGTGGACGATTTCCCCGGTTACTTCCGAGCCAACGTTTCCTGGGCCTCATCTCGTGAAAGACTTGACAACATGCTTTCATGATAGAGTTCACTATCTAATGAAACCACCCACACCTCCCCCTTCGGGCGGTTGTTAGAGGGACGAAGGCGTTCCGTACCCAATACGGAACTCGCGAGAAGATCGTGAGCGTGGACCGCCCCAAAGCTGCTGTCCCGGGAACTCCTCTGGATGAGCCCGTGGTCCCCTACCCCAGGGTTCTGCACCTCCCCTACCCTCTGCCCTTCCATCCATTCTAATTCCTATCCCTCCATATCTGCTGCCTCTGATTGGAAATCCCCCATCAACCTCCAAATCTCGCACCGCAGTACGCACTCAAGTCTTTCCCTGTTATCTCTATCTAAATCACCCGCAATGGATGTCATGTTTACTTTTCTGACTGCCTAGTTACTCGTCACTTTTAAGGGTAAGCAATACTTTTGGCGTCATTACACGCCGCCTACGATCTAGCCGGCGGGTACTGTAACAGTCTGTCCCCGTGGTCACCGACATGACCTCCTACTCATACCGCCTTTCAGTCAGCCTCACGCCCCCGTCACTCAAAGTCTGGGCCGCGTGTGACTTGGAAACGGTGTGGCAAGAGCTCGAGGTCCGTCGATGTCGCGCCCTCCGCTGATTGGCTGTGGGCGGACAGAGCCAAAGCGCATGCATGCGTTAGGAACCGAGAATCACAACAGCTAACGCACGCCCGAATAGCTGACTGGCTGCGACTGCTTACTGGTGGTTTGTACGCTCTCTGTCCTCAATAAAAGTTTGTCCAACTTAATTTGTCCTTCCTGAGTTGTGGTTTGGAAATCCTTGTTTGTTGACACGTCACATCTCGACAAGTGTACTGAGTATCATATGTGTTTACTACGTACATTGTCTCTAGCTCGATTCAAAGGCTATTCTGGAGACAGTACAACGTACTAAAATCAGGTTAAAGTACTTTTTTACTCTTCTGCATACATACACCCTCGAACCCAACGAATATACAGCGTCTGGTTGTGGTCAGACTGATATAGCGCCAGAATCATTGGAACAAAGCAAGTGCTGTGGAACGTGGTATAATGAATTTTAGTGCAAGCTGATCCGATTAAGTTAAGCTGGATGGTCAAACGATTTAACGCTACAGTTGACTCAGGATCGTCGTAACAATGAGGAGAAAACCTTAAATTCCACCTAATTGCAACTCTACCAATTACTCTTTAACATGTAAGTGAATGGAAAGGAACTTGGTAAGTACAAAACTGATGAAAAATGAAATCTTGAATGAACACCTATAAAACGGCTTCATCTCCAGTCTTATGGTAAAAGGGCAACTTTACCAGCCCCAGGCAACGTGAAAGCGGTCCAGTAATTTCCGTGATTCTCTTCGAAAGTCCTCGATGCTCCCAGACAGCCGTTTAAATTTAATGCTTTGTGGTCCAGTCCGCTCGTCAAAAATAACCTCGAGATCAAGGGCCAAGAGCTCGGGCGGGGCCGGCATGACATCTGAGTCAATATCTGTCTCCTGTAGGGCCATTGGAACCCGCCAAGTGCACTGTACCCGGTTAGATGCGATGTGAGTGAATTCAATTTGCGTGGAGTTCAGTACTGTCATAATACCTTCCATCACTGAATTTTGATCACACATAGGCACCTGAGTCTCCTCTCGTTTCTTACACCGAATCTTTTTTGGTAAAGCGGTGCGATTTGTGTTCAACTGGGATTCTTCATTATTTTTTCTCGAACGGTTGATATATTTAAAAAGATTAAAAGACATTCTGGTTTTTTGGGCTGGCCCGGAGGCGTTGGTTTGACCCTTTTTCCTTTCTTTTTGACCCAGCTTGGTAGACTTCGGACAGGGGTGGATAGATCGGAGGTGAGCGTATTGATCCGCCAACAAATTTAAAGGGCTGCGCACAACAAAGTCGCATATAGAGGATGGAACTGCCTCTCGGCCAGATAATATCGCGAGCTCTGCAGCAGAACCTTTCTGGAATGAGACCTTATTGACTAGTCCCTTAGAAAATGATGCGTTTTCTTCCTCTTGCTCCGTCTTCACCAAATCTCAGCTCAAAAGTACACTGTCATGCGGAGATGTGGAGTATGCAAAACCACATTTAACAAATAGAAAGTTGTCAGTTTATTAGGCAGCCAAGAATTCTTGAAAAAAATCAGTGATTTAATCACAGTCCTTTTGTTAGACGGAAAATATAAGAATTAAATCGATTACTGGGTCCATACTGACCCAAGATTTTTCACGACCGAATAGGATCATGTGTGGCCTAGGAGAAATTGTTTGTGCGGTTAGAGCGAAGTGTTGCAAGATTTAGACTGTGCTGCTTTACTTGAGATTTGCTTGTTTACGCTGATGGTCGAAAATTCGTAGCACCGAGTATGGAAAGGGAATGTTGTTGCACTTGTTGATAGATTGGGAGCCAGTGAACCATGACTCAAGCGTCTTGCGGATCACGCGGTTTTTACCTATAGCGAGAATTTCGGCCTTGTCGAATTTGAATGCGTGGCCAGATCTCGTCGAATGAGCCGCACCTTGAGAGCTGGCGTCATTTCTCCGCACTGCTGCAGCGTGTTTGGGCATTCGCGTTCGTAGCAGTCTTCCGGTTTCTCCGAATAAGTTGTTTTGTCTGTAACTGCACCAGATCCGATCAACTACTCAAGACGTTTCTTGCCGTGGCAGTGGGTCTTTCGGTTTCATTACCTGACGACTGATGATCGCCTCCGGTCTGTGTGCAACTCCAACCCCAAGTGGTGCGAGAAGGTGGCCGACAGCTTCCGAAACCTTCTTGACATATGGAAATGTTCACCAAGAATTTCGGTATGTGGTGTTGGAAGACCAGCAACTCTAACCGTTGCAGGACCGCCTCGGCGATGAATCCCGAAATCGGCGAACCCATTGATGTGCCCTTAGCCTGTTCGTAGATTGTCCCGTCGAACGTGAAGTACGTCATGAGACAGAGCTTCAGGAGCTGAAGGATTTGAGCGCATCCAAGACGATTCTCCGTTTCATCGTATTTGCTTTGTAGTAGCAGCTCGATTGCCTCGATCGCCAGGTCCTGGGGAATAGAAGTAAAAAAGGATGTAACATCAAAAGATACCATGACCTCATTTAGATGGAGGCCTACCCCTTTGAGTTTCGCCAGGAATTGTGCTAACGAAGCGACCGTGGTGTCTGACTCAAAGGTCAGGAACTTGAGACGCCTGAACAGCCCCTTTGCCAGTCGGTAGGGTGGAGTACCTTTAAGCGACACGTTGGGCCGGAGAGGAGCGCCCTCTTTGTGCACCTTAGGGAGGCCATAGAATCGGGTCAAGGCCATATCTTGGGGTCTCGGCATGCGTCTGTCGGTCGGTGTTATTGCGCCCGAGTTCTTCAGGGCCAGCAACGTAGCATTACTTTCGCCTGTCAGCGTTTTTACAGGGTTCGTTACACATGGGACATAGAACTGTCGGTCCTCCAGTAAACCTTTCACTTTTGAAGGTAGTCTGTCCTGTCCATTACAGCCGTGGAGCGCTCCTTGTCCGCTGGCACGATGACCAGGTCTACTTTGGCCTTGAGTTTTCTAAGCGCATCACGTTCTACCCTGGAAAGCACTTCCTGCGGTCTGTGGGTCACGAGGAGAGACGACATTTGGTGTCGGATGAGGCCTTTAGTGTCCTCCGTTGCTTCCGTCTAACTAAGGATTGATCAAACTGCTGCAATCATGTTAACAAGTTTGACGTCAGCCGTGTTGAACGAAGCTTCGTGCCGTAACACTTGCGTCTGATCTTTCATCAGCTCATTCGACGATAGGTTGTACACGAGTTTGTCGTTTTTGGGCGACGTTGAGTTGGGCAGCTTTCGGAGTTTCTTCTCCAATGTTGCGTTAGATAACACGGGCTCGTTTAGCCACCCTCTGAGGGAGCCGATTCGTACCAATCTCGCCAATGAGCTCACAGAATCTGGTTTTCTCTTGATAAATCCTCTGACGGTATTTGCGAAGTCTCGCTGGCAATCTTGGAAAGGCACTCGGATCATTCTTCAGCCATGCTGAAATACTGCTCGTCTCGCCAAATCAGTATTCACCGGAGACTTGTATGAAACGCATTTCGGTAATACATTATTGCCGAGACACCTGTGCAGAAACCGGATCTGCGCATACGTGGGAGCCTCTCGAAGGACGAAGGTTTTCCATCGCCGGGCAGATGGGAGCGCATAGAGCCCAAATAACTTGTCAATAGAGGCGAAGAGGTGTGTCCCAGGAAGCAGTTGTGAAGGAGACACGATTGCTAGGATGAGATTTATTCGCCTAAAAAGAGTCCTTGTCCTAGCGATCATGTCTCCTTCTTCACGATCGCTCCCTGGGATTCGTCTCTTCACTTCTGTTGGCATGACTGCTGTCTTCTCCGTCCTAAATATCAGTCGAGAGTTCGGGCAGAGGGTTAGATCCAGTTCTCATTCTTCATCTACCACTGTATTTGATGCCCAGTCATTCCCGAACAAGATGTCGTGATTACCGCCCTTTGAAACACATGCAGGGCAGGGTGGGAGTGAGCACACGCCTTGGATGCTACCCATTTGGGCGAATCTCTCTGGAAATCCGAATTTTAGCATAGTTTCCCACATCTCTTCGCGTCTGGCTGAACTCATGAAGGCTGTAAAGAGACTGGTTCGCATTTCCTGAATCTTTTCTTGCATTTGAAGGATCGCGAGGACCATGTCCGTGATTCCACAGTATTTCTGGAATGAGTCCATTGGCCAGATGTGTATTCGGATAGCTGAGTAGAACTCAGACAAATATCTCACCAACAATACTCAGAAGAGTAATACCGTGATGACAGTTACAGATTCGGCTTTTTCTTTTGCATTTGTGCAGGTGCATACTATCTGCAAATTCGAAGTTTCGTGGGACTTTACCCTGTGCCTGCACCGTCTGAAACGTCGAAGTAAGCATCTGCACGTGTTGAGAGCCTTCATAGCTTAATTTTTACATGTTACTGCGTCGGCCCCCAAGGCTTTTCCATTGGTTAGCTGTTACACCTCTGATTGTCTCTGGAGGAAGGTGGACGATTGATGTCGTCTTTGGGGTCCATTTGAGGAAGGCGGTTGATGGCTTCGTCACAAAGTGCAGACGGGCGGTTAAGGATACTTCTAAGATGCTCGGCCTAGTCCTCCAGGATCTGTGACTTTTCCGACAATATAATTCCGCCGTCCTGGTTAAACGGTGGCAGTCTCCCTGGTTTGTAGGATCTTAGGTCGCAGACAGTGTGGCTTCGAATTTCCTTAGCTTCTTAGTTAGCCAGTTATCTTGCATCTCCCTCAACCTCTGCTGCTTTGCGCTTCAGAATCGGAACAAGGCGGTCTTATTGGGATCGACACTGTTGTTGGCATTGGTTTTGTGTAGGCTGTTACTCTCGAACAGCAGGCGTCAGATATTGTCATTGTTGTCCTCGAATAGTCCAGATGCTGTCGGTGTGCATGACCAAAGACCTTCAGAACAGTGGCCTCAGTGGCGTCCCGTAGATCCCGCCACTGGGTCTCAGTGATGTCATTTCCTTTCAAGGCGTTTATCTGTTTCGGGCGACGATTTGGGCCACCGTTAATGTTCACACGGATTTCAGCTGTATCCACTGATATAGCATTTAACTTGTTGGAGATTCGCTTATCTGCTGGTCGCCTCTTCGACTGCAGCTGCAGCCTCATTTTAGACGACAAGGTGGTGATCCGTCCAGCAGTCATCGCTACGCATGGCCTCACATATTACACTGATCACACCACGACGAAAGACCTGAGCAGTTTCGCTCTGGAAGTCTGAAGGGGAACATGCGAGAGAGGAACGGAGGGGGTTCTACCATAGTTTTTCGACCGAATACTTTATATCCACAAGCCACGGCCAGCTTGCCCACGGCGCGCTTTATCAGCGATCGTATAGCGCATTTTTAGCAACCCCCGTCTGGTGAAGGAGTATGTGGTGCTTCCTAAAATACGGCCTCCGAGTCATCCCAAGCGGCTGTCGAAATCCACTGTGGATCAGGACCTTTAGCTTAGTGTTAAGACAGCCCGAATTGGCTTCGGCCGTCTACGAAGTTGTATTCAACCCCCTCGCAGGGCTTTTTGTGGTTGGACTACCGGATGTGAAAGCACGGACACCGAGCGCCCTAATCTGATTTAGCCCGCCGGTCAAGGACAGTTAACGGAGTATAGCCACCATGTTGGGCACTGCTCTCGCGAAGTTAGGTGCTGGGGGGGGGGCAGCGAAGAAGAAGTATCCGTCAGATCGCCGAAGAGTTTTGCGGACGCCACTAGTGCACTGATTGCAAGTACTCATTGCGATCGTGGTGTCCATACGTGACAGACTACGACAAAGTACTCTCACTACTAAACAATGATACAATGAATACCCAGCCGCATCGACCAAGCAGGACTGTTCAGCTGCAACTTGTGTTGCCGTCCACAACACCCTGATTTCCGTCATATCCTACAGATGACGACTTAACTGCAATCATTTCATATTCCCTGCTGCGGAAAGAGGCCTATTTTATTGGCTAACCGAAATTCAAACTTCCATTGAGTATTTCATAAAAGAGCTAGTAACTTGTAAAAACCACTCAAACGTCCCGCTAGCCCTGCCCATACCAAGAGCGCAGAGGGCGGAACTACTTCCGTAAGAGTCAAGGTCGCTCAGCGACCATGTCTGTCTGCACTCAACTTAAATACTGACGCTTTAGGGTTCCATACCAAGTCTATCTGATGGATCGAGAGAATTAGTATGACCAGCATGGTGGAATGGAAGTCCGTCGAAGCGTGGAGGTAAGGACCCCATAAGTCTGGGGTTAATCAACGGCACGTCCAATAGGGACGGTGTTGACCAATATTTTTAATTGACCAAAGCTTTATGGTAGTAGGTGGCGTTTAACCGACAGGATAACGTAGATAGATTATGAAACCGATTGTGTCGTCCGTGACCGCACATTCCAACCATGTATCGACCTAGCTGGAAAACCGCGAATAGGTTGCGGCACGACTGAAACCCATGCTAACCCCATAAAAATCCGTAAGGTCGCCTTCCCTGTCCGCACTGTACCCGCATAGGTATTGCATGGGCCTACGTGGTCCATACGCATTCAAAACAAAAATAATAACCTACATGTCAACATACGGGAATTACACAATGACGTCCGAAAGTACGAACCCAAGGACAATGCATAACGTGCTGGCGTTTGCGTGGGGGAATGTGTTAGAAGAAGCGTTTCATCATGTCCGACACCGTGTCCGATACCTTCAGGTGGTGTGGCTCGGACTTGCCGCTGCGATGTGAGAGTATAGGGGGGACGAGATCGATCATTTTCGGACCTAACACCTTACTTGCCAAAAAATAATCAATTGGGCGCAGAGTTATCACAGGGAACTAAGTGTTGTGGCTTAGGAGACTGCCAACTGACAGGGTAACCTTGTCCCCCTACGAACTGATGGTCAAGCAAAAGCGGATCCTAGTTGATGCGGTTCTTATGATATTTGAGAGTCCCATAATGCAGTTTGGCTCGTGAGCGTGCATACGCCAAGGCATACTTGGTGCGCAGCGGGGAGTAAGGCCTCGAAAATCACTGCGTTTACACTCGGTTCCAGTCACCTTACCACAGGAACGGGAAGGGTGCGAGACGAAGGTCTGGAGTAGACGTGCAAGTTCCCCAAAATTTACTCTCAAATTGCTCATCCTTGAAGCAGCGATGATCCACATTCCTTGCGAAAGGCAGCCAATTACATCGGAGCCCAAATTATCGGCGAGGGATAAATAATGCCACCTGCCACTAGAAGAGTAAGCAAGTAAAATTACTCTATTAAAACTAGATACAACAGGAACCAGAACGTCCAAAGCAGGACTAGTTTTCCGCAAAAAGATGAAGAAAAAATTAACGTGAAAACCAATGTCCCATCTCTTCGTGCAGCACCTCGTCTTTGTGCGCGCGGAGGACACCGGCAGGGTTGACGGGAATGAACTGCCAGCCGCGATAGTCCTGTTCAGCCAGTTCAGATTCCTGGAACCAACGGTCTTCGGCGCTAGGGGTATGTGGAAACAGCAAGGGTTAAGAGTTACTTATCTATATCATAAGTCAAACCATTGGCTGAAAAGTGATGTCGACGACCATCGGTCACAGTAAGAACCGGGACAACAGATGTGCGCGTTAGCTACTTGTTAACTAACTGGCGCGTCCACAGGCGGCGGATAGCGAGAAGGTCTAAAGCGGAAGCTAACTGTGAAATAAACAAATCATAACATCCGGTGAATTAATAATCGCGGGCCAAAAGTTATAGTACGCTCTGGGCTAGAAAGATCGATCATCCCGTAAAATACGGTAATAACCGACAACGGTAATGTGGCATGGTTACCATGAACGTCATTAAACAGGGCCTCTAGCAGCCGCCGCCACCATGTGGGAACAGGAGCACTAGGAGGGGCAACCTCGAACAAATCTGGTAGCTGCTGGGCGTCTTCAGAGGAAACTACCAGGACATATCATAACCAATGAGGCTGTGTTGGTCAAACATGGTTAAAATGCACTAAAGAAACTCAAGGAAATCCAATGAAAGTTGCGACGAAGGACGGTGGGTGGAGGTGAATTTGCGAAGATACCAGAACCGATAACTTATGTACTATTATTTTGGAAGTGTACACGACCGACATAATAGCAAATGTTAAAGGTCTTGCTTCCCGGAGCAGACGTACTTGTAGAAATGACTGTCTGCAAAGAGCATGTTGACAAAGGAAAGCTTGGCCCGTTTCCCGGGCGAAGTCAAAGCAGAAAAATCACAAAACCTATGGAGAAATACGGAAATGGTCTAAAGTTCTGGTCGGCGGTTTCAGATCAAGGAAAGAACAGTAATTTCCGAACGTTTTTAGGAAAAAATATTCTGCCGCGAAAGCCCTGAGTAGGCCAGGGAGTATGTGCCATTACCGATCCTGGAGCATGTGTGCGTGGACTCACAAGACATTTCACCTAGTATTTTAAACCAAGATAGATAAATTATTCTTTTTCAGTCAAGACGGTGTCTAAAGAATGAACCGAGACGGTTAGAAGCGAGTAAATTTTTATAGACATTAACATGCACTAGTTAAAGTAGTTAACTCACGCGAGCTCCCTCGCGTCCATGTGGCGCTTTTTGATAGCAAGATGGTTTTCATAAACTTGTTGAGGACTGAACATCAGGTTCCTAGCAATGAACCTCGTGATTGGATGCTATTTTATCATTTAACACCAACTGCATAATTACCCTGTAATACTCCCAGTACCTTGGCTCGTAATCCTCAGGAGTCTCCACCAACTCCGCCTGGCCAAGGAAGATGTTCGTGAAGAACGTTAGCAGTCCGAAAGGCACTATGCCACACATTACGAAGAAATGCTAAAAATTATGTAAGACGACTAACTAACCATTTCATCATACACTTTCCCATTATGAAAGTTAGTCTGCCTGATGCGTAGTGTGCCACCACTCCCACCACCACTAGAGCTACGAGTAGGGACTGCTAAAGTGGTGTAACTTGAGAGAAATTACCGTTGAGTGACCACAGACGGCCGCGAAACGAAAATGGGGCCGATTGCAGATCGTTTTTACTACGTAATGCCCCATTGTGACTGATTACACGGCCAACGGCCCCAAGGCCCCGGCAAAAGGCACCCGCAGCCCGAAGCATTTCGACTTAGGCGCCGTATTGACAAGATATTCAAAGCTAAGTCCAAGGGTCCAGGAATGGTCTTGGAGTAAAGGTTATTTAATATATTGTTGATTCGCCGCTGTAACCTTAATAAGCACGAAATTCAAAATAAACAGTTGAACAATGGGCATGGACGCAGAAAAAAATCATGAAAAGCAGCGGACGGAAAAAACGGTGGCGTCTAGCTGCGATACAAAGTCAACATCCTGCTAGCATAATTTACTGAACCCTCAAGTTTATACTGAACAGACTGGGCTGTCAGCTCAAGCTCTTATTTTCTGCGGCACAGTGGTTGCAGCTGGTAGTGACCATATGTTAGACCTAGCCCTGAAACCCCATTTGACTGAGTTTAGTGGAGTCGAGAGGGCGAATGCGATGCCCTGCCGGCGCATGTTCTCGTCCCAAGAGATAGTCCACACCAGGACACATTAGGGGCAGGCTCAGTCCGAGATAGGGAAAGTTACGGCCTAAGAACTGAGTCGCGAAAGGCATCAGTTAAAACGAACATAGGTCTTGACTTCGATGCACCAACGCATACGCTTTGCGATCTCCCTATATGAAACTCCGTAATTCACACGAGCAGTTGGTTTTTAATGGAGTAGACTGAAACTACAGTTGTTTTCTGATCTGCAGTGACAGTTATGTGGTGGAACGACCAGGTGCAGACTCCCGCCTCGACAGTTTGGATTCGTGTCGTCCCCTTATTTTGTTTTGGTACAAAACCCTGATCAATGTACGCTGTGGATCGGGGATTGTGGTGGTACGCCTAGGTGCGGCTTTTCGCCGTGCTAACCACCTGCATCCTCCGCCTACGGTCTGCTTTAATATGTCTTAACACAGGGCCCAAGTGTGAGGAAAGGAGAGAGAACGGTAGCTGCTGCACAACTCTACTATCACTACAAACTAATCCACGCGCAATTCAGCGTCTCTGATCCCTCCCTTCTATGGAGCACACAGTGGACTCCGTCAGTATCGATGGCTGAACTGTTGTGAATATTGCGGCCGGAACTCAGACAGGGGTGTAACCGGAGTCGTCTATGAAACGGCAACAGCAGGAGGACAACCGACGATTTCAGAATTGACCCTTTTTACGAAATTGTGTTCAAACAAGTGCTGCCTCTAAAACGGATTGCGTCATATGAACTCCGCTTTGAGTGCTGACATCAGATACCTGTGGAATGAAACAAGAACCTTTACATTTAAGACCGGAAAGGATAATCCCCTGTACGTTAGTGCCGACATAGTTTCCCACTAAATAAAGCTTGTTCTGTATTCTAATCTCGCTAGCACTTGTCTTACAATGGGGGCATCTAACGCTATGAATTTCGCCTTTTCATAACCTACAAATTCTACATTGTACAACTCTATCCCATTTCCTTCAACCTCTATAATACGAAGGGAAAGTTTGGCTGTTTGTTTCGTCCTTTATGCTTTCAGCCACGGAAGGTATCATGCCCGAAATGGATTCGCACTGTCTCCAAGTACGTAGCGGATAAACAAGCGGATAAGGTCCTAGGCGCGGTCTATCGTGTTTTACACTGTCTGAAGTGTTGTGTCCCAATAACGCATTTACATGGACAGAACCATCGTCAAATTGTTAGTCTGACGGCGTTAGTATGTTAAAACCCCACGTCCGTTAACTGACAAGTTAATGGGCCTACCCCTGGAATTTTACCCAAACTTCGCCATGTCAAATAGGGAGCGCTTCAAACGGAATCTCGTTCCACAATAAATTGACTATTCGCTGCAAATCTACCCAGCTGTCGATAATGAGAACGCCACTCGACGGGGCTGTTGTATTCTACAAGCAGACCACGGCCGTAATATTTGGCCTCGAGGCGATACTACATCATATGTACCAGGCATACGTAATTTCCATAGGTACCCATGATCGTCCCGGGTACTACCACCTACAAAGATTCAGCGTGCCACATATACTGATAACAATTGTCTTTAATGCCAGTCTACAGGCACTGTCGGGTAAAGATACAGTACGGATCAATCTAGCAGCGGAAAAGGCCTAAGAATTAAATATAGGTGGCAGTACTTCCGGATAGCTTGAGTAGTTCAGGGGAGATAAACTGCAGTCCGTGAAATGACTCAAGTCCAGAAGGGGAATGGTAGAAAACTGCATCGGACGTTTTAAGTCTCAATACCTTATTATGGGATTAGGACCCGTGCGTCAAACATAGTGCATTAGTGAACAGTTTCTCACTGTCGGCTGAAAAAAATCATCCGTTGTGTTTCATACTGCAGAGTCAACACAATTTCCCACAAGACGAGACCGGGCAGAGGAATCCTACACCAAGAACTCCATAACTAAAGAAGATTAATTTCGTGGATCCAGAGTCCAAAAATTGTAGGAGTATATCTAAGTGCAGTTTTGTGGAATCTTCACATTCCTGGCTAACTTATTTCAGCCTACAAATAGAAAAGAACTTATGATTTAAACGGCACATGCCAGAGGAAGAATTAGGAAGATCTCGCGGTATTTGTAGCTTCGTGGTGGTCAAGATGCTTCAGACAAATAAGCATATTAAAAGGACGACTCTTCAAAGACGCAAGCATTACAAAGAGTCCCTTCCGTGATCAATGAAACAGGAAGAGATCAAGGCTTGTGGACCCGCAACTTTCGTCGTTCGTCAAATTTCGACGCTCCGCAGTCAAAACTCATTTCGTAAAAAAGCGCTCGATGGACTCTATTTTATTATACTCAAAAGCACACAGGAAGCTAAATAAAAACAAACAGTATTACAGGCTAGGTCTTACATATATTTTATAGAGTCATATCCCAACATCGCTAGCTTCAAAATTTCGAGGGATAAACCTGCATGCTTTAGAGACAGTCAGGACGCAGTGGTATGACAGATTGAGACTTTTGGAGTATAATACACTCAGATCTTTAATAACTCCAGGCACATTTATTTTGCGACCACCAATACTAAGTTGAGCCTGATGAGCGTCGCCAAACACCATAAATCAGCAAATGTGTCACGCAATTGAAAGGCGCCACATACAGCACCACGGGGTGAAGACCTGAAGACCGCTCCTCAGGAGTTTGAGCCCGATGTCACAATGTGCCGCCCTGCGTCAACGTATTATCCTCAAATCATCGACATACATAAAAGGCCTACCATTCTAGAATAAGTCTGCTACGTCAGTGACAAAAAGGGGGAATATGAGCGGACAAGCATGCCAGCCTGAATAAATCCACTCCTTATGTATGTAGGGTTTGGTGTAGTATTGGAAATCCTAAGCCGTTGTGTGCGAGCGCCGGGCAAGAAGATACGTATGCATGTTTACATTTGGGGGGGGGGGGTACAGACAAGGCCATTAATGACCCTATTTATGTACACTAATTTTGTGTATGTACACACAAAGTAAACTTGTAAACGTTTGATATGTGTTCGGTTGCAGCACAACATTAATTATAGGGAATCGCTTCTGTTCACTATGATTTGGTACGGAAAGATTGTTCATGACTAAGTGTTTCACAAAGACGAGTTTAAGTGTTCGTGCTGAAAAAGAAGGCCATTTGTCGAAAATTACATAAGCAAGTATTCTTTCAGACTCTAAACTGTGCCGGCCGCCACCAACTTGCTTGGTAGCGAGTTCCATCGTCGGATTACCGCCGCGTGCGTTTACTCCTGACTTTATAGGTACGGCCGCGTAGTTGGCTTGTGCAGGCAGGCTCTGTTTGGGGTGCCTACACTGCCAAGAACAAGAGCCAATCAATCACTGGAGGTCACGTAAGCGCGTTGTCGGCACGTTGTCAGCATGATGATAGCACCTCGCCATTGGCTACTCCCCTTGGACTTGACTGGTTTGTGCATACGAGAAAACTATTGTATCGTCCGAAATTGTCTTCCCGGAGCGCATTCGATCGAATACCGACTAACCCCTATAGAATGTTATAAATATACGTCATTTTTACAGTAAGGACGAATTGTGGATTCCTAATACAGTTTTTCATGGTCGGTCGTGCTCTACTTCTCTGCCGCGTTGGTTTTGGGGATAGCAGTCGAGTGTCCATATGGTTCGCGTGATTTCTAAGTACCATGTCGGGTTATAATAGACTTTAAAAAATCCTTCGTTCTCGGCGAACAGTCATGGAATGGACAATCCGGAATGTCCAGAGTAGGCTGCAGCTTATTCGCCTGCTATAAAGAGGGGAAATGCCAAACATATTCATCCTCTCCTGATACGACAAAGGCTTCTACCGTCGACCATTTTCGTTGCTCTGTGTTGCACCTGTTCGAAGTAGTATACTTCCTCATCCATGATTCAACTGATGGAATTCTATATTTCAGGTAGGGTCTTACAGGGACGCCCAAATGTGTTTCGAAGCATTCAGGGGGAAATAATTCAGATGCACGTTTGATCCAGCATAAAGTACTAATTGACTTCTGAACCATCTTCTTACAGTGTTCTGATGACGTTAGATCTGTGTTTATTCATATATCCAGATCGCCGTGTCTTCATCTTCTACTGTCGTCCCGTTAATATAGTACTGGTGTTTGGGAGAGGCATTTCGGCCGGAATTTAGGCTCGTGACCACATATTTAACACATTAAACTTTAAAAGCCAGTTGTTTGACCAAACACTCGGTTTGTCGATGTTTGATTGCAACTTCTTTACGTCATCAACGCACTAGCCTTAACGCCATAATTTTATGCATCCGCAAGCATGAGGGCCTCGCAATCCATTTTGCCGGTGCAATCCTTTACATAAATCAGCAAGAGTAATGGGCCTAAAACAGAACCCTATGGAACACCCCTTTCCACCTCTGCTCATTCCGAGCTAGAGTTACGAACAACGACAATCTGTATTCAGGAGGACAGGAAGCTCTTGATCCATCTGAACATTCTTCCTCGAGTTCGTACATCACAAATCTTCCGTAAAAGAAACCTGTGTGGTAAGATAAGTGAAGCTCTGCATTTATCTGGATATTCGTAAGTAATTAATGCCTGTTTTTTACT